TCTTCCTAAACATAAATATTTTGACTTATTAAAATAATCAAAAATTAAAATAACTTACTAAAATGGCTAATCTCTCAAACGAGGCCAATCTAACATTATTTTGTAGGAACTTTTATGATAAGTTAATAAAAAAAATTAATATAAAATTTGAAACAAAAAAGTTATAACAGAGCGATTAACGGAGCTAGACAATGCCTCTTTGTCGGGAGTCCCGTGACTCACTCGTTTCTCTCTCTACACATGTATGAAATATATGCTGTCCCTCTTTATACTTTAACTCAAGTGACGGCGTCAAAAAGTAAAAAACGTTATTCTCTCTCACCTTTTGTATTATAGGAAAATGAGTTGGACCCCTTTAAGGAGACACTCTTTTGACCCCTCTTTATTTGATTGGCCAATTTTTTTTTTTTTCTTCTCTTCTAATCACCACCCGCCACGTGTGTAGGAATAGCGGGGGTGGTGATTGGAGGGGTCTCAATCTTGTATCATAGCTTACTTTTTTTATGTATGATGTTTAGAATTTTTATTTAATTTTTTTATTACTTGATATAAAATAGTAGAGTTATCAATTTTAAAACAATCTTAATAATTCTCAATAAAAAATATAAATATTTATAATTTTAATATGTTTTTCACATATCTCAAAATATTTATTATATTTTTATATATTTTTCAATACTAACAACATAACATTATTCTATTAATAAATACACAAGAAATTTATATTATTGATATTGTTTGAAGCAACTTATATTAGCTACTTATTGTTTTAGGAAAAATTATTGATATTGTTTGAAGCAACTTATATTAGCTACTTATTGTTTTAGGAAAATGTCTCGTACCTCAAATTTTGTGGCTCAAAAGTGACTCAAATGGCCAAAACGACGTCGTTTTGACCATTTTTATGTTGTTCTGTACTCAAAACGACGTCGTTTTGGCCATTTGAGCCACTTTAGAGTCACAAAATTTGAGTTACGTAGCATTGTCGATTGTTTTATTATTACTGTTATTATTTTATTTTACAAGTTTGGTACAATTCTTACTTACGACCTCTTAAGGAAAAATAATTTAAATAAGCAAAAGAAAAATTAATTATTTAAAAGTTCGAAGACGGGAACTTTTGATTTCCAAGTAGTCTCTTCATGTCACATGAAACTTATGTTTTTGTGTCTAACAGCAAGAAAATTGAGTAACAAATTAGTTTATGTATAATATTTTTTTAATTTAATTTTTAACAATAAAATTATAGTAAATTATATATATATATATATATTTTGAGATTTGAAAAAAATACAATAAATTTCATACATGTAACACAATTACATAATAATAACTTTATTTTTATTATTAATTTATTAGTTATACGCATAAAAATGACATTGTCATCTCTTTTACAATAAAATATATTTATTTATCTATTATATATATTTTTTTCACATCATGTGTATTAGTTCTAATTCTTTTAAATTTACTAGGAAATTAAAGGTTAATTATACGTTTTACTCTTATAATTTGACTCAAATTTCACTTTAGTTTCTATTATTTCAATTTGAATAATTTGATCATTAGCCTTCAAGTATAGTTTAAATTCAATCTTTTTGTTTAAATTGGAAGTTAACATTAATAATTTTATAACACTTATCAATTACATGATGATAAAATTAACAAAAATTTAGACAGAATAACCAAATTAAAACTAGGAATCACATTGTTCAATTTCAAGCTATAAGGACTAAAGTAAAATTTGAATTAAACTGTATAGGTAAAAAGTATAAGAAAATTTAGCCAAAACCCCTCAATTGAATCATTGTTTAGTGAAAAGGTTAATCCAATTTATTTTGCTTCATAAATCCCTTAAAGATGAGACACATAATTGAGTAACGATGAAGTACAATATTTTTTTTCTTGAACAATATTGTCAGAATAATATATTACTGTTAATCAGTTTAACATATTACTGTGAGACAGAATAACATGTTACTGTTTACATCAATTTCAATAGTAATATTTATTTATTTATTTATTTTAAAATTTTATAGTTAATATGGTTCTTATTTGATAAATCTTGATGAGAGAATTCTAAAAATACTAATTTATTAAAAATTAACATCCAGATCAAAAGTTATATTATTTTAAAATTTAATATTTTGATAATAGTAATATGTATTGGACTTTTTAAGAATTTTTTTTTTTGTGTTTGTCCTAATATTTTAGAGTTTTATTATGAGAGAGTTTTGACCAAATTCTTTAAAAGTATAATTAATCCAAAAAAATTATAATTATGTTTGATAAGGTTCTGGTTCCCGGGTGGATGGGTCGGACCGGTCCAGGCTCTTCAGACTCCGGCTCAGGGTGATGACTCCGTCAGGTGACCTGCATGCAAGCCCAGAGGGGAACGGGGTAGTCCCCCAGTGAACCCTCCGGTGTGAGAATTAGTAGAGTAGAGTATGAGAAAAACTGTGTAGAGAGGGATTGAGAGAGAGAGATAGCTTAACCTTATTCTTGTCCTCCTATCCTTGCTTATATTCTTTAGTTATCATTTTTCCTGTCTCTTGTGACGTGCTTTCCTTCGCCGAAAGCCTGTGCCGTAGCTTACCTTGTTCAGGGTGATGGAGGCTCTGTTCCGGCGGGGGGTGCTGTCGTAATAAATGCTGTGATGGGATGCATTAATGGTGATGTGTTGTGATAATAACTCTGCAGATCTTTGTCTGCTGATGTGGCCCGTGTCCCACCTGCCATGTGCCCAAATGCCATTGGCCCTCCATGTCTAGATGGCCTCCAACTGTCCTGGGCTTTGCCAACCGGGTTATGCCATTGGTCCCAAGCGATGGGTTTGGGGTGGTTTACTGTGGGCCGTATGCCCTGTGGGCCCTATTCCATGTCAGTAGTCCCCCATTTCGAGTGCAGCTTTAGACCAACGAAGGGAATAGTAAGAAGGAAGAGAAGTGTGAAACGATGGAGAGGCCGACTGGAAGGTGGTGCCGACCGCAAGGGTGACTGGGCGGGAGGAACTGCCCGTGAGGGTGGTCGGGCAGGAGGGGTCGACCGTGAGGCGTGCCGACCGCTTGGGTGGCCGAGCGGGAGGGGTCGTCGCCGTGAGGCGTGCCGACCGCGAGGTGGCCGAGCAGGAGGGGTCGTCTGTGAGGCGTGCCGACCGCGAGGTGGCCGAGCGGAGGGGTCGACCGTGAGGCGTGTCGACCGCGAGGGTGGCCGAGCGGGAGGTGTCGTCCGTGAGGCGTGCCGACTGCGAGGGTGGCCGAGCGGGAGGGGTCGACCGTGAGGCGTGCCGACCAGGACGGCGCGGGGCTCAAAAATGTGCTGATGTGAAAATGGAAAGGACAGGGTAAGGGGAGGGACATGCATCGTGGCCACACACCCCTCCCGCTCGGCCACCCTCGCGGTCGGTACGCCTCACGGACGACCCCTCCCGCTCGGCCACCCAAGCGGTCGGCACGCTTCACGTTCGACCCTCTCCTGCCCGACCACCCTCACGGTCAGTTCCTCTGCCCAGTCACCCTTGCGGTCGGCACATCACCTTCCAGTCGCCTCTCCACTCGTTTCACACTTCTCTTCCTTCTTACTATTCCTTCGTTGGTCTAAAGCTGCACTCGGAAATGGGGGACTACTGACATGGATAGGCCCACAAGGCATACGGCCCACAGTAAACCACCCAAAACCCATCGCTTGGGACCAATGGCATAACCCGGTTGGCAAAGCCCAGGACAGCTGGAGGCCATCTAGACATAAGGGCCAATGGCATTTGGGCACATGGCAGGTGGGACACGGGCCACATCAGCAGACAAAGATCTGCAAGTTATTATCACAACACATCACTATTAATGCATCCCATCACAGCATTTATTACGACAGCACCCCCCGCCGGAACAGAGCCTCCATCACCCTGAAAAGGTAAGCTACGCACAGGCTTTCGGCGAAGGAAAGCACGTCACAAGAGACAGGAAAAATTGATAACTAAAGAATATAAGCAAGGATAAGAGGGCAAGAATAAGGTTAAGCTATCTCTCTCTCTCAATCCCTCTCTACACAGTTTTTCTCATACTCTGCTCTACTAATTCTCACACCGGAGGGTTCACTGGGGGACTACCCCGTTCCCCTCTGGGCTTGCATGCAGGTCACTTGACGGAGTCATCACCCTGAGCCGGAGTCTGAAGAGTCTGGACCGGTCCGACCCATCCACCCAGGAACCAGAACCTTATCAATGTTAAAATTCAAAATAAATCTGTGTAATTTACCAACTAATTAATACGAAGAAGAACAATTCCAGAAAGGACAATCATTAGCAATACTTTCGTCAAAACCGTGTTATTCACTATTTTATCTAAAGAATTAATCAAACCATAAATTAAATTAATAATAAGGCCTTATTTGAAAATAAATTATTTTAATAATTTTTTAATTTTTTATAAAAAGATGTGTAAAAAAAAGTTAAAAAAATGATATGATAACTTATAGTAACATTTTAATTTTTTTGACTACAATATATAATTGACAAATAAAACCTAAAAAATACAATAATAATGCTCCTTTTTTTTTTTTTTTGGGAAACATATTAACAAGTATCCGATTTCCTTTACATTATTTGCAATCTCAATACAGTACCTATGTATGTTTCCAATACATTCATATATATATATACATCAAATACGAAAAGGAAAACAACAAGCATCCTACAACTATCTACTCAACATATGAGACAATTCGGCCTTCCTGAACCATAACCATCATATCCATAATATGCACAATTTTATCCCTAAACATAGGAAAAAAAAAAAAAAAATTAAAAAATTAAAAAACTAACCCACATCCCAATCAAAACTACAATTTCACACAATTATTGTTGTGTGGCTTTGGATTCTTCTACCAGATCGTGCATGCCAGCTTTACAATGGGTACACCACAAAAAGTATAAAACTCTGTTTCCCAAAATTAGCAGCATATATATTACAGTTGTATATTTTATATAATAATAATAATAATAATAATAATAATTATATATATAAAATTAGAAGCTAAAAGAACAGAAGGGTTGATATAGAGCTAATTTTTAGTCTGTTGATTTTGGGGGAGAAGAGAGAGAGAGAGAAATGAGGGAGGTGGTGGTGGTAGCGGTGGTGCTAGTTGTCGGCATTCTGGTGTTGGGACCGAGTTCTATCAATGGCGACACAGATCAGTCCGACGGTGAGCTCTGTACTAGTCTGCTTTTAAACACTTGTTAATCACCGACATTTTAGTGTTTATATATATTTATTTGCTTCTTTTTTCTTTTTTTTTTTTCTCTATGTTTTTTTTGATGAAATTTGGTTCGATTCTCATGGACTAAATGTGTATTTGTATAGATTTTCTGTTACGCAGCTCTGATTCAAGTCTAATGTGAAGTTTTATGTTGATTTTTGTGTCGTGCATGTTGTGATCTGAGCTCTACTTCCAATATAATGCTCTGAGTAAAAATGTAGATTTACAACAAAATTCTTTATATTAGTGATGGAGCTACTCTCTCTCTCTCTCTCTCTCCCTTTCTATTTTTTTTTTCTTTTTTGAGAATTTTGTAGCTCGGAGCTCCATTTTTTTTGAGAATATGTTCGTAATGTTTCTGTAATTGTTTTTTTTCCCCCGAATTCTCCATTTCAAGTAATTAGTCTTTGGAATCAACTCAAACTGAGTTGAATTTTGGGGCACACTCTGACATGTTTTAAAATGTCAACTTGTTTAGGTTGGTCATTTTTATTTTTATTTTTATTTTTCTGTTTTTGTTGGATTGTTGAGTGTGGGGAAGGTGTTCAAGAGAGCATCAAAATCCCCAATTTGAGTTTAGTGGATATTCCTTTTGATTATTAGTGAGCTTGATTCCAAAATCAGCGTCGGCGGATTTACTACATGGGTCTATGCTTTCTATGCTTCCATTGAAAAATAGTTGCATTGTTTAATTTTGGAACCTGTAGGTGAACTTTTCTATGAACTTCTTTATGGAGAAATGAATCAAATGTTGTACTGAGTGTACCTATGGCATGTTTGATGCACAGCTGCTGCTCTTCGGGCCATGTTTAGCACTTTAAATTCGCCACAACAGCTAACCAAATGGAGCTCAAGTAGTGGTGATCCATGTGGGGAGTCTTGGAAAGGCATTACTTGCTCAGGCTCCCGAGTCACAGAAATGTAATTCCCTATTTGGCTATTTCTGTATCATTTCCTTCTGACATCGCTGACCTCTGATATGTATATATTCTGCTGTTTATTTCCCATTAGCAAAATATCGGGTCTTGGACTTACTGGGTCAATGGGATACCAGCTCGCAAGTTTGACAGCGGTAACCAATTTGTAAGATCAATAGCCTTCTAAGATGATTTGCTGGTGTTTTCATCTTTCTGTTTGATAATCTTGATGTGGTGATTTGATGAATTCTGCAGGGATATAAGCAATAATAATCTTGGAAACCAGATACCTTATCAGCTTCCTCCAAACTGCACGCAACTGTATGCTTACTACCTACTGATTTTCCTCCTCTTCTATTTCAGTCCTTTAATTTCATTTATCAAAAAATAAAAAATAAAAACAAAAATTTTTGTGCCCTTTAATTTTCTTATGGTGGTTTCATCAGCAATCCTCTTATAATGCAGAAACCTTGCTGGAAATGGCTTCACTGGTGGCATCCCTTATTCCATATCGCAGATGACTTCCCTAAAATACCTGTTAGTCAAGCTTCCAAAATTTGATTTTTATTGTTCATGTCAAAACTATTTAAAACTTCACACTTAACCACTGGTTGTTACATTGTGCTTTGATTGTAGAAATGTTGGTCACAATCAACTTCAGGGCCAAGTGAATGACATGTTTGGTCAGCTTTCATCCCTCTCCACATTGTAAGTTTACCCTGCATTACCTTTTTTCCTTGTGGAGTTCTCTCAATTATGCATACCTTGACATAGTTGAGGTATTATCAGCAGGATTGTCTTTCATTATGATGTACAAGACTAAATGATTATAGTGTTCTGCATTTTTTCAATTCTTAAACACTTTTGGTAGCCATTACTTTCCATGCCACAGATGAGAAGCTTTATTTTGTGCTTTGTTTATTTTTTTGGGAAACAAATCAATATTGGTTGTTACAGCATTCTAAAGTATGTACTTTAGAAAATGTTACAAGTGCTGACTAGCTCTTCAAAAGGCGGGGTGGGGTGGGGTGGGAGGGGGGAAGTAAATTCAACCTCTTAAAACTTTTTTTTTTTTTTTTGGCCTTTTGTATTATGTAGTTTCCATGGATTGAACTAAGCATTACAGCTTTTCTGTCCATCCTGGATATTTCCTGCTAAGATTTGATAGACGGCTCATTGGGATAGATGTGGATGAATAAATAATACGCCCCATAGACACATGTAGGAAGTTTTCTCCCCATGCCTGTCTTTGTTCATGGTTCAATGTTCTGGTGTCCAAGGAGCCATTTCCAAGATGTAGAATAGTAATAGGGTACCATGATTGTTTTTATGTACACTGAAGAGGCTACACAACAGGTTCCAATGGATGGTGGAATTTACATATGTGGATTATGGTGTTTTGTTTTGCTTAAATTCCAGTGAAATTAACCTATTTAAAATTTTCAATTCTTCAGGGATTTCTCATTTAATACTCTGACTGGTAACCTTCCTCAAAGTTTTAGTTCCCTTTCAAGTATGGAAAATATGTAAGTAAATTAAACATTTCGTAATGCAGTACTTAATCTTTTATTGTGATCTTTCCTTAATTATCATTTTATCATTGTGCAGGAATTTACAGAACAACCAGTTTACAGGAACTATTGATGTCCTTGCTGGTCTTCCCCTTCAAAATCTGTAAGTGATTATGTATTTGCAACTCAGACAACTTACCGTTTCAGTTTTCCTAGAATAAAAGTAGTGTTTGACCTTTTTACCGGTTCTTGCTTTTCAGTAACATTGCAAATAACCAATTCAGTGGTTGGATTCCTTCCCAGTTGAAGAATATAAATCTCCAGTAAGCATTTCGCACTGTATTAATTATTTAAAAGTTTCTATGGAAGGAAATTCTTTCATCTAAGTATGAGATTCATGATGCTCTTAACAGGAAGGATGGTAACTCATGGAGCTCAGGGCCTGCACCCCCACCTCCACCTGGCACACCTCCAGTGCCTAGTGCCAACCGAAACCACAATTCTGGTGGCAATAACAACCCATCTAATGGGGGTGGTAGTGGTGGTGGCAGCTCAAAATCAGGTATAGGGGGTGGAGGTGTAGCTGGAATAGTGATATCCCTTTTAGTTGTTGGGGGATTGGTAGCATTCTTTATTGTGAAGAGAAGGTCCAGAAGGTCATCCACTGATGTAGAGAAACTTGATAATCAGCCTTTTGCCCCTCTTGCTTCTCATGAGGCACAAGGTACCAATTCTTCATATAATCAAATGTTACTTTAGCTTCTCTCCTATCTCTAGTTTATTTTGGCTTTGACATGCTTCATGGGATTTTAATTTGTTTGACAAACCTCTCTGGAAGAAATTTGAATGTCATGTGCCACAAAGAACCACGAAATTTACATGAACTTGGACAGGCAGCTGCGATAATGTAATTATATTTGGCTGATAGAATTAGTCTTGTCCTAACATCATTATAGTTACAGGATGTTAAGTTACTTATTTCCCCATTGAGGTATGTTCTATGGTAAAGCCTTCAACTTAAATGTAACGTTTTTGCTCACAAACCTCCTGTACTCGCAAATAATTTGGTTGAACTAAAAAGACATAGGAAGTAATTAGCTGTTTTGATAGGAGTTATTTAGGTGAAGAAAGACATGATTGATCGTGTTGAACCTATAATTATGTGCTTTGACTTGTTCATTTGAGTTCTTATTTGTATAAGGGTGGCAACCCCTCTGATGTTGTTTCTCTAATCAATTATTATTTATCAAAGAAAAAAAATTGAATTTTTATTTGAAGGCATATTTCCACTTGAAAATAAGTAGTAGAAAAATTAGGATTTTTGTACAACTTGCATCCATGAAGAACAGCACTATGACGTTTCTGACTTCAACTCAATAGTTATGAACTGCACTATGACGTTTGTGACTTTGGCTGAAGGGTTTAGAACTCCAAACTAAGGGTGGTTTGGGTATGACTTATTTAGTGGCTTATTGTCTTTTACGAAAATACGTGCAGAAAAGTAAAGAACTGATCTGATAACTTGTAGTAAATAAGCCAATAAGCAGCTTATTTAGGTGGTACCCAAAATAGTTGAGACTTCTTGGCTGTTGGAAATTGGAATATGTATATAGTTTTGAGCTTCCCCTTGCACTGCTATTTTTGGGGTCCTTTCCGTCTGTCTGTGATAGATGAACAGAAGAAAGCTTTCGTGATGTCTCTTCATATCCACGTTAAAGATCATTACTGTCCTATTGTGGGTTCTTGGTGTTTGCAACTTCTTTGATATCACTGTTAAACAGGATTCATGTGGCTGACCCCTGAAACACAAATAGGGATTATTTACATTGTTTGTTTTTTTGCTAAGTTGTGGCTTTTGAAAATACATTTCCTTAGTCATGATACTTAATAGAAAGGGGATTTTTTTTTTGTCCAAATATTGTATCCATATTCTGGCTGTAATCTGTAGAGTCAAGGATCACAAATCCATGATTCAGTAGTACGCAGTAGATGCAGGCCTCCATGGTCTTACTTCCCTTGATGTATTTCAATTTAGATTAATCAAAACCTTTCTTTGAACTCAGGTACACCAGTTATCTTAAAATAAATGTTTAGTGATGAAACTCTGACTAAGATATTAGTTTTTTTCTTATGAATGTCCACTGTTGAGTGGCTTGAGCCTAATAATTTTCTTTATACCATGTACATAAGCTAAGCTGAAACTCTAAAAAGGGGCTAAATTTCTGTAGGTCTTATTAAAACACAATGTTACTTGTATTTCCATTTTTCTTTTTTTCTTTTTTTTGAGGAAGTGCACAAGTTAAATTATGTTAAAAATTTATAAAATCTTAAACCGCCAAACCGATTCGCATCCATCCGCCAAACCGCCAAACCGCTCAATCCACATCCGCCGGATTGGCGGACGGATGCGGATTGATTTTCTCCAATCCACCAATTTGGCGGACGGATGACGGATTGGAAGTTCCGTGGCCGCAACCGACCCGCGCCCACCCCTACTTTATACCATGTACATAAGCTAAGCTGAAACTCTAAAAAGGGGCTAAATTTCTGTAGGTCTTATTAAAACACAATGTTACTTGTATTTCCATTTGTTTGAAACTACTTGAGCACTGTATTTAATTTTAACTCTATGGCATCATTTTTGCAGCGATTCAAACTCCATCTACAGTCATGACAAAAACATTTGAAACTTCAGCCTCAATAAACCTAAGACCTCCACCTATTGATCGTCACAAATCATTTGATGAAGATGATTTCTCAAGGAAACCCATTGTTCCCATTGTTCCCAAGAAAGTCCATACACCTCCAGTAAATGCTATGTCATATTCAATAGCAGACCTGCAGATGGCTACGGACAGCTTTAGTGTTGAAACTCTTGTCGGCGAGGGGTCCATTGGATGTGTTTATCGGGGCTCAGTTTGATGACGGAAAGGTACTCTCTTGAGTTTAATGCTTACAGTTTCTTAATCTGTTGGTGAATAGTATATTTATTTATGACAGATAATTATGTTCCTGCAAAATGGCAAATTTGAAGTAGGGAAGAGTGTTTAGTTGTAGGGATCATCATTCATTAAGAAACATCTATCTCAATCACGCACATGCTTTGCTTGTACTACTTGAATTGTTAATTCTGAAGACCAAGAGGAGATAAAAAGAAAAATAAATTCACCAGAGTGGCTTCCATAATAGTATACAATGCCCCTTTCCTTATTTCTTTATTGTCCACAATTCCCGATGGGCATCTGAACAAAAACAGTTTGAATGAACCATTTTTTTGGGTTTCTTTGAGCTTTCCTCATTTTTCACCCAGTGGTCAAATCATTTGTTTAATGATTTCACCTTTTATGTCTTTTGATGATATTACAGGTTCTTGCTGTGAAGAAAATAAATTCATCTGCTCTTCCAAATCACTTGTCTGAAGATTTTATGGATATAGTTTCAGACATATCCCGGTTGCGTCATCCAAATATAACTGAGCTTGTTGGTTATTGTTCAGAGCATGGACAGCACCTACTGGTATATGAGTTCCATAAAAATGGTTCTCTTTATGACTTCCTCCATCTCTCAGATGAATTTAGCAAGCCATTGACCTGGAACACACGTGTCAAGATTGCTTTAGGGACTGCACGTGCACTAGAGTAAGTTGATAGTGTAAAAATGGGACAGAAATTTTTTATTTTTTTCCCTTCTTTTAGTTTCATCCAAGTCTCAGATTAGTAGTTCTACTTAATTTGCTTTTATTTCATACCATATAACACTACTAATGTTGTATTAAAGATTAGTGGTTTTTCCATCCATGGTTTTCTTTCTTCAACTGGTAAAATGTTGATTGGATTTTTCAATGTTTTGAGTTCTGCATCATCCATTTGAAGGTCTTGCATGAGGGTGTAGAAATTATATTTTCAATACATCTAATTGTTATGAACTACTTAAAACGGCCATTGTACGTGCTGTTAACCATGATATAATCAGGGCTGCACCAAATGAAATTAATATGTTGGTAAATCTACTTAACAACCAACTATTACATAGATGTATATATGTAGCTTTATATAGATATGTACATTTAATTTCCCTTTTTGAAACAGTTCAATGCCTGTTGAAGTTTGTTGGATTTTCTTTTGCGATAAATTTCATTTCTTTGATGGTGCTCACTAATGGCTTTTTTCAGGTATTTGCATGAAGTTTGCTCTCCATCGGTTGTTCATAAAAATTTCAAATCAGCCAACATATTATTAGACACAGAGCTGAATCCTCACCTGTCAGATAGTGGGTTAACGAGCTTTGTCTCAGATGCAGATCAGGTAGGTCCCGAGTCTCTTGATCAGTTCTAGCATGTTACTTGGAATAGCTTGATGTGAAGAGATAGGAATTGCTTGTTTTTCATAAATATTATTGTGTGTCATCTCATTTATCTAACAAACTTTGTTGCACAAGAAGCAAATTTGACTGCTAGATGCATAGTTTTGCCACTTTATAATAGTTGGTGGGCACAAAGATATTTGTGAAAATTGAATATGGGACAAAAGTTGTGCCATTGCAATCCTACTTCTTTGACATATTTCCTAATGCAGCTGTTACTTTCCATTTATGGGAAACCACAGTCTAAATGTAATTGAGATAAATTTTGGCAGAATTATATTAGCAACCTTAAGACGACACCCCTTCGTACCTCACTGGACTTTCAACTTTAATTTCAGAGGCTTAGTCCCGTGTGCACGCAGAGACAGACACACACACACAAACACAGTCTTCCCTACGAATCAATTCATAAACTGTTACTAGTAATCACTTCCAGTTCTCTGGAATAGGAGTGTATATGGTTTGTTCTCTGTCTCTGTCTCTCTCTCTCTCAGGTTGGGGGAGAGGGAGGGGGGTTATTCCTTTCTTTTGCAATTCTGCTTGTTGAATAGCTTGATATACATTGTTGGACACGTTTCTTAACACAACTTAAGCTTTTGGGACAATGGGTGGTTAACATGGTATCTGAGCTCAGGTTGGGGGACGCCATGAGTTCAAGTCTTTTAGTTTGCATTTGGTCCCCCTTTGCATTCTTTGTCTTCCATTGACATTTTTTCCTCTCTATGTATGAATGTTTGCATCTCCACCTGTAAGACGGGATTGCATGCGAGGGAGGGTGTTGAATAGCTTGATATTGTTGGGTTCATTTCCTAACAGTTTAAACTTTTGGGACAATTGATCGACTTAACACTGCTACAATTGGTTGACTTAACACTGCTACATATGTGAAGCCAATGATTTCTGCTTTTCTCATCTGTTACTGTTACGGTTCTCTAGATCTTATGGAAAAAAAAGTGGATGATTATTGTAATTGGAAGTAAACAAAAAAAAAAAAAATGCTCAATTATCTTTAGCATGGTTTGAGGTGGTTGTGTATAAGATTCTCGGTTTGCTTGTGGCACAGTTTTTTTATGTAGTTTTCAAGCTGATCCTTATAAATCCCACATTTATTTTCTTCCCCCATGGGGCATCTTTTTTGACTTGCGTAATTGCAGGCATTAAACCATAATGCTGGGTCTGGATACAGTGCACCTGAGGTTGCCATGTCTGGTCAATATACTATAAAGAGTGATGTCTACAGTTTTGGAGTGGCAATGTTGGAACTTCTTACTGGACGAAATCCATTTGATAGGTAAACTTTGTGTGTTAGACTTTTGAAGATGAATAAGAGAATATGATGTATTACCACCTCTCTGATTGTTACGAGTAATTCTTGATGCAGTTCAAGACCCAGAACTGAGCAATCTTTGGTTCGATGGGCAACGCCTCAGCTTCATGACATTGATGCTCTGTCTAAGATGGTTGATCCAACGCTCAAAGGGCTCTATCCTGTTAAATCTCTTTCGCGCTTCGCTGATGTTATTGCTCTCTGTGTCCAGGTAATGAGTTGAATCGAGCATGATTTACAATCTGAGTCTTGTACCATTTATCAAATAATGTTGAACCTCCATTTGTTGGGCGGAAAACATTTTGTAAAAATTGATTTTTTGCATTTTTTGGCGTTTGGTACAGTGAAAAAGAAAGTCAACGGAAAACAAACTTATTTGGACAAAAAATGTTCTCTTTTAAAAGGTGGAAAATGTTTTCCAAACTAAAGTATTACCAATTCCACCACACTACCACTACCACCATTATTACCAATTCCACCATACTACCACTACCACCATTATAACCACCGCCCCACCACTACCACCATCTCCACACCACCTCCACCACCACCATTGTCGCCACCACTGTCACTGCCACCCCCACCACCACTAATGCAACCACCAGTACACTATTTTCATGGGTGCAATCAAACATAGGAAGACGCTTTTTGCATAAAACATTTTCTAGAAAAACTTTGTGTTGGAAATTGTTTTCTACCCAAACAAACATAGCGTAAAAATCTATTATGCAATATTCTCATTTTGCTTTCTTGAAATTTTGGGGCAGCCGGAGCCTGAGTTTCGACCACCAATGTCAGAAGTGGTTCAGGCATTGGTTAGGCTGGTGCAGCGGGCCAACATGAGCAAGAGAACTGTTGGGAATGAGCAAGGTGCGGCTAGGCAGACTGACAACAGTGACACCCAGGACGACTACTTAGCTTAAAGAGCCAGGGATTTATGTCCTCTATAAAACCGCCTCCCAAACGCCATGTCTATGATTTTTTTCCTTTTTATTTTTTGTTTGTGTTTTGGTGTTCTCTTTACCTGCCATGTTCACTTTTGTTGTACTTTTTAAAATTTTTTTTTTTTTTTTTTTTTATAGATTGAACACTTTTGTTGTACTTCGGTTGCTTGAAATGATACTGAAATTGAAATCGACAAGATTAGCAGAAATTGTTTATATTTGAAAATAAATTATAAGCTTTTTTTCTTTCACTTTGACTGGCTTTATAAAGTTGAGAATATTTTTTGGTTTTAATTGGATTCTGCATTAAATAGATGTAGAGATTTGAACAGTTTCTTTTTCCTTCCATGTCAGAAGCTGATATTCAAGCCAAGAATGATTTTTGATTAATATACTGCAATGTTCTGAAATGGTTGTTAATTTTTTTTAAGGAAAAATAGATTGAAATAATTAAATAATTATTGAGAAATTGAGGAAACATGCCCCCACCGACCAACTTTCTTCACCTTTTGCTATTCCATCGACCGAATCTGGGGAATCTGATGGAATTAGGGGCTTCAATATCAGTTAAAAAATATTGGAGAAATATCATTGGTCATAAAATGAAAGGATTGCATGAGAAAAAGGAGACAAAAAAAAGAAAAGAAAAAAAGAAAGGTTATTTTTTAAATTGATACTATGTTAGCAGACTATTAACACCCGCAAGGATCTTAAAATATAGGGTTATGTTAAAGATTCTAAATGATTTATTAAATTTTTTATCAAACTTCTCACATGGATATAGATTTACACAAGTTAGTTTGTATAGATCACATACCCTCATGAAAGGTTTGATAAAAAAATTATTTAAGGTCATAGCATTTTCCTAAAATATATCTTCATCTCTGTTATTTTCTTACCTATACACGAGGGGAGGTAAAAGGGAAAACCACAAGGAGAGAGCAGGCAACAAAAATTGTTGCAGAACCCTCTACTCGCATACAAATGGAGTGCTTTTACAAGCATCCTCGGATATAATAACAGGAGAGAGAATGACAATAGAGATCAGAGGACAGACGGCCTCCACTCCACTGCCAAGATTACATCCACACTCAATTCTCTTATACTTTATTTTGTTAGGATTTGAAAAGAAACATATAAAAGTGTGTAAAATTAGATAAAATATAAATATATTTTATTCATATTTCTCCTATTTTTAAAATTTTTATTTTCAAAATCACTTTCCAAATCTCCAACTAAACACAATATTAGTAACACGGTGGAACAAATTTCACATTTCTCACACAAGCCCTTCGAGAACACAAGAAATCGAAAATCTTCGATTTCAACTAGCAAACACATTGCACGAGATCTGCTTGTTATTTTACTTCCTTTGCGTTGTAGGGTAGGGGCAAGTGCGATTTTGACAGTAAACCAATTCAGACAGTAAATGGTAATTTTCAGTTATATCTAAGAAAATCACAAGCACAACAAAGCTATTGCAAATCTCAAACTGTCATGATGATACATTTAATGGACTATATAATCAAATAGCACCAACCACGGATCCACTAGTAACAGAAAAGGGTTTCCCCATCATTTTGACATTGAAAAGAGCAAAAAGCAATAAATTTTTCAATCTGCAGTTCAAAATAACGAAAAGAGATTATTGCAATCTGCAGCCCATTGGATATGCAACTATAATGAAAGCAGTTCAAGGCCACTGGAGAGGATAGATAAGAACAGGCAAACATCATCTGCATGACCCACTGTTGGATTTGAAGCCACAACCACGAAATTTCTCTCCAGAAAGAAAGAAAAGCAGCAGCTCAACCAATCAATTGTAAACCATATATTTGGGCGTGGCACTGAACTTCTGGTATCCCTTGATGACTTTGTTCACTGCATCAAGGAAATCCTTTTCTGTCACTGTTTTCCTCCGTGCTCTAATTGCATACATTCCAGCCTCCGTACACACACTTCTTATGTCCGCTCCTGATACAGAAGATCCAATGGTTAAGCTAGAAAAAGTCAACAAATCCTCTTTTAGAGTTAACACCATATAGAAAAACACACCAGAAACCTCAAATATAATGGCGGTGGAGGCCAACCCCACAATTTTATGGAACAAGACATTGAAGCATCAAGCTAAGTAAATTGTAAGTCGCAAGAACACTAATGTAGTTTTTGGTTGACAATTCTTTTATAATGGTGAATGATGATTTCACCTGTAATACATTTTTCATCAATTTTTTAGTAAACCAATCGTGTGATGGAATAATCATTCCATTTCACTTCAGTTTAGTGAACCAAACAGAGCTTTTGAGGATGTGTGTGACCACTTTCACACAGAAGAGGTGTAATTCATCTTACCAGTTTTCATAAAAATTAGGTCATAAGCAACTTACATTTTTATGTTGCCATACACATTACTGCTAAATAGTAGTTATATAACAATGCTAATATAAGTGAATTAAAATAGACAAATTGCCTACCTATGATACCACAATAGTGATTATTGTATATAGAATGCAAAATACGCCTGATTAATGATTATGCCATTTGTACAACAATGTTTTGAATTTAAAAGCATTAAATATCACAATAATAATACGAGATAAAATAAAGACCAAGCAGTCTTTAAGTGAAGCAACCATACCAGTAGAATTTGGGCATAGGCGAGCCAAAAGTTCAAAACGAACATCCCTTTCACAGTTCATTGTTCGTGTATGGATCTTAAAGATCTGTGTCCTGCTCTCCAAGTCTGGTAAGCCGAACTCAACTTTGCGATCTAACCTTCCAGGACGTAACAGTGCTGGGTCCAGAGTGTCTGGTCTGAAATATTGGTACAACGAAGGCCACAATGTATGCAATCAGACAATATCCACAAAATTGTAAGAACCAAACTTCATTGGCCATACTGAACCTCATTTGATTGAGTAGGTTGCAAATAAAATTCACCCAAAATAACAGCAGTTATATGATAGGGAGCCAACTAACCGATTTGTTGCCATCAGAACTTTGATGTTCCCTCGAGCATCAAATCCATCAAGCTGATTCACAATTTCAAGCATAGTGCGCTGAACCTCATTGTCTCCACCCACACCATCATCAAAACGTGCACCTCCTATGGCATCTACTTCGTCAAAAAACACGATACATGCTTTTTTGGAACGTGCCATCTGCCACAATAAAACAATCAATCAGAAATTAAGATGACATCAAGAAAGACAAGTCCTGTCTCATGAAACAGCTAATACCTGAAATAGTTCACGAACCATACGGGCACCCTCCCCAACATATTTCTGAACAAGTTCACTTCCAATAACACGGATGAAACACGCATCAGTTCTATTAGCCACAGCTCTAGCTAAAAGTGTCTTACCGGTACCAGGTGGACCATAGCATAGAACACCCTTAGGAGGGTCGATTCCGAGCTTCACAAACTTTTCAGGATGAAGCATGGGCAGCTCAACAACCTGCAGCAAGAATTATTTATGATAGAGAGCTTATATTAGAGTTTAAGAACCACAGCTTGCAGATAATGTCGTCTACATGTACATAATACAAAATCTAGATGCGTAAACAAGGGATAAGAATCAAAATGTCAGTAATGTAACACAATAAAAAATATAATATAAACCTCTCGCATCTTCTCAATCTGCTCCTTGCATCCACCAACATCATTGTACGTCACATCTGGTTTTTCTTCCACTGTCATCATGGTTACACTTGGATCAATTTTCGGAGGCAATGGAATCTGAATTTGATACTTGTTGCGATCAACTCTGCACCCACAACAAAATGATCAAACTAACAAGAGATCACCAAACTAAATAGACTTATATGTAACAAAAAGATAAGAGGAAAGTGAAAACATAAGTGACATTGAATATTATAAACAAACACATGATTAGATGGGGGGGAAAAAAGATACAGACTAACAAAGCTCCGAAAACATGAAAGCATTTATTTCAAACACTTCATTAAAGCCAAAAAACTGTTTCATGCTCTTTAATAGCATTAGTTGAAATATTAAACCTTACTCAATATTTTTAATCTGATATAGAAGGGTCAACACCAAAATTATTACTTATCTAAGATAGTTTCCAACAATGACATCATGTTGTATGGACAACTCTAAAGCCACTGGGTCCAAGCTCAGGTCAAATATCAAAATCCAGTGAAATTCAGTAATGCTTTTGGGTTTGAGTAAGCCCCAATCTCCCTCAGAGTTTGTCAATCAATTCATTATATTGAATTTGGAAGAAAATGCATCTAAAGCATGTGATAATAGGAAAAAATGCCATAAATTTTCTTTGGTTGCAAATCCAAAAAAAAAAGAAAAAAGAAAAAATGTCATACCCAGTGCACAAAGCTCCTGCTTACACAGGCCTGGGAGAGGCAAGTGTGTGACAATCATGTGTAATTTTTATTTTTATTTTTTTGTAAGTAACAATCATGTGTTATTTCTCCTAACTATATCAGTGAACAGACAACAAATTTATTCCTTGCAATACTGTCAAAGTGTTGTGTCCAACATGGGTGTCCAACACAACACACCTCCTCCAAAGAAGTGTTAGCGAAGAAGCATAAAAACTTAGCAATACTATCATGGATTGAAGTTTGTCCAACACCACACACCTCCTGTGGTGATGCCTGTCCCCACGTACTAAATGATAAGCAATGCCAAGATGGCATTGCAATACTATCATGGATTGAAGTTTGTCCCAACACCACACACCTCCTGTGGTGATGCCTGACCCCATGTATTAAATGACAAGCAATGCTAAGATAGCCCAAAACAATTATTGAACCTTTACTTCCAATTTTATTAGGCGATTCCCAACAACTATAACTCAAGTTACTTTCAATTTTACTTTTACTTTCATTTGGGGTGAATGTTTCACACAAGGAAGAGCTATATGGGTGGATATATGGTTCATGTTCATTCCATATAAAACTCCCAGGTTCAAGTTTCACCAGCTCCTTTATTTTGTTTTGCAATGACCCAATAACATTGGTTACGGTGGTTGCCCAATCACCTAGGCGAGTACTCACCCTATATGCTGCTTAGGTGTGCCTTTCCTAGGGATTTTAGGCCAGGCATCCAAGCAAGCATCTGTAACAACTATGCTTTTTAGGTGTTGCGGGCAATAACCCTAAGAATATAGTACTTGGATTATACATGCGAAGAAGAAGAAGAAGTGGAGAAGGAAAGAGACATTTCATCCTCACAAGGTTTAGACAACATAAATCACACATTTACGAATAAAGACATTCAAAGTGGAGCAAAAGAGAATTTTCAATGAAAACAACTCATGCATTTATGAATGGTAAAAGTAAAACATGAGCAATTGTGATAAAATTCTGAAATGGATGTCTATAAAATGCTTGTTGGCTCAAAACTTTAAAGTATGCAAGGAGGGAACCTACCCAACACGCATGCCTTCTTCAATATCAGTAGGGGAAACTTTGTCACCCAGGCCCACAACAAACTGCAGTTGTAAAAGCATGAAAGCAGTCAGAAAAAAAATGTTACATTTATGACTAATTTTTTTCTGCTCTGTTTGTTCCAATATCAGACCAGACCAGACCAAACCAAACCAAACCAAACCAAGCCTTAAATCCCCCCATCAAATGGGGTGTTCCAATATCAGACAAGTTAGAGAAAACGTTTTCATTCTATAAAGATGAAATTTTATGTCTTTAGAAGAACAAAGAAAAATATGCATTGTTAGATTACTGCACTTCCTCTGTGTCACAACAAATCAAATGCTATTCAAGTTGATATTGCATAATAAAATCTCACTAATGCAATAATATAAAGCTGTCCAGGAATTTATCCGCCAGACTTCCATGGCTACTGCAATTGCAGCCTGTGTAATTTGCATGATTAACCATATTCCATATTCCATAAATATTTTCTTTCTTCTCGGATAATGAAAACAAATAAACTTGAAACCTCCAATTATCCTTTGTGTTCTTCAACTCTTTAATCAAAAAGAATTCAGGATTGAAATAAATCAAATTAGTACAAAAGCTTAGAGAAAGATATATTTGCATACACAAACATATAGGAAGGCCCTATGAGAAATTTACCTTTGCAATTTGCTTAACATTTATAACATATTTTGCATCGTCAGTGTTTGGGTTGATGATCTTCGTGCACCTTGCTACCTGGTTACAAAAACCATCAACGATTAGGAAATGAAATATTATCAATAACAGAAAAAATGAAGTCCAAACACCCACTAGACAACCACACCTGCAGGGGCTGCTCCTCCTGCATCATTTGCTTATCAGATACAAGATCCCATTGGCTGGGTGCAGCCAAACCAGTGTCGGACTCCTTGATACCTATGGCAAAATATATTCCAATGTTTTAGTTTCATCATATTCAATCCATCCATAAATAGACACCCAATAAGCAACAAGGGAAAATTGTAGATCAAGAAAGTAATTATGGTGCTAGAAAAGAAAAAAGAAAATGAAGAAAAACAAAATGTGACAATTTCATTTGATCACCTCTTTTAAGAAGAATTCACAATGAAAAAAATTGTAAGATCACACTTTAAAAGAAGAATAAAATTAACAAACTGTTAAACTAGACTCAGGAAATTGGTGAATTATACAGTTTGCACAAGAAAACATACCACATAGATCATTAACCTTCTTAGCCATATCCTTGATTTCCTTCTCTGCTTTCTTTATGCTGGTAGAGTAAGGACCCAAGCCCTGCGTAAATCATAACAATAGAGCCAATTTAATAGACACCCAACAACATGCTAAGAACAAAAGAAGGCAAAGAACAAGCTACAAGCAGTTGGTAATGCTCAATGAGCATCATTTCCATATATTTCCCTACTTCATTTCATACATTTCCTTACTTTTAAACCAGTTGACAGCATAAGGGGAAACAGACGAGCCCTACTATTGATGGAAAAGCATATAAAGATCTGAAGGCCTATTGAATAACAAACAGGAACAACACAACACAAACATCTACCAAAAATCGAAATATTAATCACTGTGAAGCAATTCGCCTCAAAATCTGTTGCTTTTGTATATTTCAGATGGTAACATTAGGACAAACAGAAAAGCCCTACTATTGATGGAAAAGCATATGAAGATCTGAATAAACAACAAATACCATACAAAAATCTGCGAAAAATCTGAATAATAATCACTCTGAAACAATAGGTACGATTTCTTATGTATATTTCAGTACATGAGAACAAATCCAAATAAAGCAATGAGATCCAAATACAGATTTCATTCTCTCAATTCAGTTTTCTATGTAACCAAACAAATGATAAGAAAATAACAGACATCGAGATATTAAGTGAAATTAGGGTTTTAGAAGGGGGGAGACTGTACATAAGTTTTGAGAAGAGCGATGTCGTCTTCATCGAGAGGACGAGGGTTCTTCTCGTCCTTGATCTCATCTTCGGGCTCAGGGGCCATTGATTACTCTCTTTCCTTCTACGAACTGCGAACTTTCTCGAGTAAAAATGCTTTTCTTGGGAAACAAACAACCACCGATGTCTCGAGTTGAATCGGAAATCCTATACTTCGTAACCTGGGTTTTGATTTATAGCAAAAGACTACGAATAGCACGTGATATGCACGTGACAGCCACTGGATCGGCCCACCAGTCCGTATGCTTGGCCCAATCTGATTGTGGGCTTGTGTAAAAACCTTTTAGACTTAGTGGTGGTTTGGCATTCCCTACATAATCTATCTTTTTATTTATTTTTTATTATATCATTTCTCTATTTTTCTTTATATCTTTTTATAAAAAGACAAAACGTACACTTATTTAGATCATCTCAAATAATCCCTTAGAATTCATTTGGATATGGGTTGACTTTTTGATTATTTTAGTCTAAGGTTAAAAAGTCTCGTTTGTGATAGGTTTTTTAATTTTTTACTTGTGTGAGATAAAAAATGAAATGACTTATGGATTGAATATGACATTTTGTCCTATTTGACTAAAATAACTTATTTTGTTTTATATGACTATTTTAGCCCCGAATGTGTATCCTAAACGAAGCCTTAATTATTAGCTTCTCCCTTAAAATCTTATGCACACATTCACATAAGTTATGTCTCATATTTTTTGTTTCTTTTTTACTCTTTTGTGTGTTTTGTATTGTTCAAAATAATATTTTGTTCTTTCTCTTTCTCTTTGTGTTGTCTCTCTCTCTCTCTCTCTATAAGAAAACTCTTCTCTCTTTGCGATTTCTCTCTCTCTGTCTTTTCTCTCCCTTCTTTTCCACTATTTTTTCAAAAACTTCACACAATCATTGACCTAGTAGGTTAGGACCAGCATTATCAAACCCGTTGAATAAATGAAAAATTAGTCTAAGGTCCCTCTCCCATTTTTTGTGGTAGAAGAAATCCACAATATTATTTTATAATGTCTAAGGTCCCTTAATCCTACACCCGTATATTCCAGAGAAAATTCACTTTCTCACTTTCTTCTTTCCTCTGGCTAGGGCTTTCATCATTCTCTCTCTCTCTGATTCGATCAACCATGAACTATTACCTCCACTCTCACTCTCATTCACTGCCACACCCACTGAATTGAGTATGACAATACTTCACTTTATTCTTTTTCTTGTAATCAATTGTTATCTGTATGTAAACTATTGTCAATCAATATGGCGTCTCCAATACCAGATCAAATTCCATAAAAACAAGCACACAAGTGTGTTTATAAAATTAGAGAGAGAGAGAGAGAACAGAGTAGTAGAGAAATTGTGGGTTTGAGTTTTACTTACAGAGACTTGAAAAAATGGTTTTTAGATGGCGAAGAGCATTTTGTACATCCATTTCCCGAGATGGAGAGTTGAAGCTACCCAAGGAAAAGCAGCAAGAACCTAGCAACAACAACACCAATCTCACCCCCAAACTCGGTTCCAAATTCGGCTTCTTCTCCAATCCATCCACGGCTCGATTGCCCGTTCCAAGCCCTAGCCTCCGGTTCCGGACTGTGACAATAGCGACTGTTCCGACGCAATCAGTTCCAGAGACCCCTAAGCTCCAATGCAAGACCAAAAACAGCCCCAGGTTCTTCCAGTGCTCTACTCCATCTTCTCCTCAATCACCTTCGACTTTCTCTCTACTCAAATCAAGCTTGCGTCTCTACAAAGTAAGTATTGATATACTACTAATGTGCTGCTTCCATTATATATGATTTCTTCTTTTTCGTCACTTTGCACAGTGGAATTTTGGCAATAAAAAGATTTTCGAAAAGTTATGAGTAAATTTTGACTTTAAAAAGCTTTCCCTCTCTCTGTGTGACCTTTTTGTGAGCAGAGTAGATGTGGAATATGTTCGCAGAGCGTGAAGACAGGTCAAGGGACCGCCATTCTCACGGCGGAGTGCTCTCATAGCTTTCACTTTCCCTGCATCGTCACGCACATCAATAGGTTCAATAGCCGGCTTTCAAACAGTTCTTCTTCTCCCTTTGAAAGGTTGTTCAGTGCTTGCGTAATTTGGTCTAATGGGTTGTAAAAGACAAATCACTAAAAGCTTTCAAAATTGATGCTTAGTGTTTGCATTCAAGTGTAAAAGGTTAATAGAAAAAATGAATTTTTTTCATTCCAATGGATGTGTCTGCAGTATGTTTGTTAGTGTAAGAACTTAGAAATCAAAAATCCAAATATGAGAGAAAGATCAGTGGCTTCCCATGAGGACACAACTTTGTAGATATCCAGATAAATTCCTTATCATTTTCTCTGCCTTCAACAACAACAACAACAACCATCTAGCTTTGAATTTCTCTGGTCCAAACCAGAGAAATTCTCTCCAAACTAAAAAATTCTCTTTGGTTTACTTAAAATTTTCTTTGATTTGTTTACCATTTTCTCTGCCTTCAATAACAACAACCGTTTGAATAAATCAACCCCAACTATTAATTAAACAGCAGATTTAAGAACATAAACCTTGCAATGGTTTGAACCAGAGAATTTCTTTGGATTGTTCAAATTTATCTGGTTGTTCAAATTTCTTTGGGTTGTTCAAATTTCTCTAGTAGGCCTTTGGTTTGTTTAAATTTCTCTGGTTGTTCAAATTTCTCTGGAAGCTTTGTTATTGCTTCATGCTACCTCCAGTCGATCATTTGTCATGTTGTATATTTGTGTTGATGCTATCAAAATGCTCTTGCTTATATGGCTTTTATGGTGCTACTACAGCTACTTATTTGATGTAGAAAGAAGATGATGATGACGATGAAGGCTATCAAAGAATTTCTCTGGAGAAAGAATTTGAATTTGAACTCAGAGAAATTAGTCTAAGGTCTGTCAAAATGATTTCATAAAATGATATTGTGATCCAGAGAAATTTGGTTAAAATGAATCCAGAGAAATTTGAATTTGAATTTGAAACTAGAGAAAATTGGTCAAAATGAACCCAGAAAAATTTGAATTTTCACTGGGTTGAACCCAGAGAAATTCTTTGGAAAGTCCAGAATTTCTCTAGAGCGAATTTTTCTAGACAGAATTTCTCTGGATCAATGTTGAGGGATCTTAGATATTATGAAAATATTGAATGTCTTTTATGCTATAAAATCTTAATACCAGGGACCTAAAAAAAAACCCCTTGAATAAATCAGTGGGGTTTCAAATCTCTGATTGGGGTTATAAACTAGTTGAGCAGTTATGTTATTCAAATATACTAAAAACTTTAAGAAATTTTAAAATATATTTAAATTTGATTTGTTTATCTTTTGATTCAATTTTAAATATAAGTTGCAATTTGAGCAAATAAAAAAGTTCGTATTTACATTAGGAGCTAAGTGAAAAAAATAATAATAATTGAAGGGAATTTATTGTAATTTACTTATTTTTTTCCTTTTTTTCTTTCTTACATACCTTCATATTTTTATATACTTCTATACATTTTTCATGTATTTTGTATGCATTTTATACATAATAATTGTTAACATATCCTCTAAGAATATGTAAAACCCAAGTTATTTATAGAATTATTTTGGATAGATTAATAATTAAAATAAATTGTATGTGTAATTTAGTAATCTCAAGAATTAGGTTTTCAATCCTTTTTTTTAAAAAAAAAAAAGGAAAGAAGGGAAAAGGGTTTTATATTATTTTGCTATCAATTGCGCAGAGGATTGGCTGGAAATGGCGGTGGGAAATTGAGGGGAGCATTCTTGATGCTCATTGATCAAGGTACTTTTCTTTTACACTATTGTTTATTATATGTAATAGATCAATAGGTAGAGAAAAGGGATGGAAAACAAATCCTGTGGGGACACATAATGGATGTAAGGTTCAACATGTATAGTGCTTTGTGTAGGTTGATGATAAAAGTGCTTGTGTGGGTGTAGTTTTGACAATCGAGTTGGGTATTTTAGATAAGGTGTGTTTGGCTATTAATTTGGATAAATGATTTGGTATTTCTTGAGCTTTTCATACATATAGTAGGTTTTGTGGATGTGTGAAAGACACAAAATATTAATTTATTTGAGATTCTAATTATTAGGTTTGTGTGATTAAAGCGGTGGAACTGAGTGTTCGGAGTTGGTGTTGGAATATTATTTTATCTATTTGAGGTGAGTAACCCTCTATCACTGTTGGTTCATTTTTATTCCTATCGAATCGTTTAAAATCATAAATATTTATTTATAGCCTTCATGTTCTCTTAAAATAAAATATGGGTCAAGTATAAATCAACATCGAATATTATTATGAAAATTATTTGAATATTTGGTGAAACTATTCTGAAAATTGTACTAAACGTTTATTCTGAAAATATCGAATGTTTTATTTAAAAATTGTGTATTGTTTGAATTTTGAACATCACTCTTAGTCTGACTATGATTTGGACCCTAGCCAATGGAGGTTATTTATTGGCACAGAAACTAGTTTCTTTTGGAGCTTTACCACCGGCCTATGTGTGGTTCTGGGCCTTGTCACGGGCTAAATGACTGTAGTCATTAAGACTTGGGTTTTGTGAATCAAATCATTGAACCATCTGAATATCGAACCATCGATTTGAACAACGAATTACTTTGAATTATATTGTTGGCTTTTCATTTAAAATGTATTGTACATTGTTTATTTTTAGCTATGAAACCATCTTACAAATAATTGTTCATTTATTGAACTGTAAAAAAAATTATATTTATTGGTTATCGATTTATTTATTTATTTTTTGTATACTTGATCCAGCTAGCAGTGATGGTTGGTTACTTATTGGCTTATCTAGCTTACCCTTATTTTTTTTTTCAGATTCTGAAGAGTAGAGCTGCGCAGGATTTTTACATGTGGGAGTGCCGAGAGTAGGACTATGATTTAAGTACTTGAATTATTGTTTTGTTAATGGATTTTATTAGTGCACTTGGTGGATAATTTCATATGATAAGAATAAGAAAAATGAGTTAGACCCCCTTTTGTGGAGGACCCCCACAACCCCCTCACTAATCTACACCATTCATGATGTGTGGGGTCCACATCATGAATGGTGTGGATCACAAAGGGGGTTGTGGGGGTCCTCCACAAAGGGGGTCCCTATCATTGCTGTAAGAATAATCAATTTTTATGAATTTTAGCATTATAATAATTAAGGATTTAATTGGAGTATTTTACATTGTTGGTTATGTGTTGAACTTTTAACCTTGTATGCTTACTTAAATGAGTGTTCGGTGTTGTCACAGAGCTTGAGGCGTGACAGAATACATACTAAGAAGTTTAAAATAGTTATATAAATTTTATTTTATACACTTCATACAAAATAATGAGTTTCAAAATGTATTAAGCATGATTTTTTTACTTAATAAACTGATCTTATATGAGTTCAAATTTAATGACTCGAGGCTCATTTCTCCTCTTCCCTACAATATACTCCATATGTTCTCTCTCTCTCTCTATATATATATATATATAAACTCAGGACATTCTTATGAAAATTGATGGTTAACCAAAAAACTATTTTCACTAGAAAATAAAGATTGAGAGCTCTAATTTTAAAATTCTAAAGAGAGCTCTAATAATGTGACAAGGAGTGATGCCCACATGTGATATGTGTGCCTATGTTTTTTGTTTTTTTGTTTTTTTGTTTTTATCTTGCCACATCACTAGAACTCTCTCTAAAGTTTCCCTTATAATCACAATCCTACTTTCAGCATCAAGCCCCCGAATACTGACACAAATAAGAATACGGGTTTCAAATTGCGTATACTGAAAAAATGGAAGAAAGAAACTACAGCTATTGTCAAATGCACAAAATATGGCTTTGCTCTTGCTGATAGATTCAATGGAAACACAAAAACCATGCCCACTTGGGAACTGCAGAGGAGCAAACACACAAGCAGCTTGGCAACGACAACAGATCGTAAGAGAAGCAATAGCGTTAATCGGTGGTTGGATGAATAGATCTATGAGCATTTCAAATATCCGGGGAGAAAAAAAAATCAGTTATTTAAGGGCCTGTGCATGTTGGATTTTAGTCCCCCAATAGCTTTCCCAAAAGGAGAAAGAAATGAATTTTCTTTTCCATAAGCAAAACCTTCTGGTGTCGTGCTCCACATTGCCAACAATAAATAAAAAACATTTTTAACTACAATGAATCTCGGTACTTAAGAACATCCATCGTGTTCAAATCAAAGGTCTTGCAGACATCTGATATAATGCACTTGCTGAGGCCATCTTGAGCATCTCCACGTTGAATAAGTTTTTCAAGTTCCTGTGATGGCCGCAACACCTACTCACCAAAATGAATAAGCATCTTAGCAAGCAAACAAGTGGATTTCAAACACGTGCACTTGAAAATAAAAGAAAACAACAGAAAAATCCCACAAAAGAAAGAGAGTTGGCAATAGTGATACTGCATATTTTAACACGAGTAGAATTAAAACACAGACCCACACACGAAAAAATCCAAATGCATGGTAATAAAAAAAAAATTAAAAATCTGCAATAGAAAAATAGAAAACTTCATGACGTTAAAAAAAAATTCACTCTTGTACAAAAGATCCCTATGAATTACAATACATACTTATCAACCTCATCCTCCGATCATCTCCAAATAATTCAAGATAGTGTGAAACTCCTTACCCAAGAAGGACCAAGTAAATTGTGGACCCCATTTTCAGAGTCATCATGTTCAATTTTACTCCTGTTTGGTGTTGCAACGGGAGAGTTCTGCTTCTCCGAGGAGTCTGAGACTAGCTGAAGAAGTCTCTCGCTACCCTATAAAAACATTATTAACAGACAAAGAAAGTTAATACATCAGGCAACCAAAGTTCCACGCATGGCAGAAAGGAGGAAAAACTGAAAGACCAAATGAAAGCTTCAAGACTTCTTTACGAGACACTAGGGCCAAAATCAGGCTATTCCAGAAGTCAATCATACTTTTAGACACCTAGGGAAAACCAAATAAAGAATTTGGCATGCACCATCCACAAAATCACCAACTGTATAAAAGGGAAATTACATTATGATTTGACACTATCACAAAAGTGTGACACAAGACTAGAGCTAATTACTATGTCTGAAAACACTTCACTTACCTGGAGAGCTCTCCAGTGAGAGTAAGTTCTAAATAGGATCCAAAAGAATGGGATATTGGGCAAAGGTAGTATCTAAATCACATTAAAAGAAACAAAAAAGTAATCAGTAAATGTGCACAATACAATATAAACAATTTACAAAAGTAATGTGAGCAATAAGGACATGAGGAAAAAGTATCCAAAGCTTTGTTATCATAATCTTATGATTCGCGATTCGATTCGCGATTTTTGCAAAATTGATATGAATCTATGAAGTGAATCTATTTTGGAAGTGAATCTCTAGTGAATCGCACGATTCACAATCGATTTACGATTCGATTCACTTTCTACAATTCACGAAATTCTTAAAACCATTGTATCCGACATATTTTCGTCTCGTTTTTTCTCCATCTTTCAAGTGAAAATGACATAATACAACTTATAATAGCGTTTTATACCAAAATAACTAATATAAATACATGATTTGTTGTTATTTTACTGCTCATGGAGTTTTTAATAGGATCCAATCAGATTCAGTCAGACCCAATATGTTTTTAACCTTTCTTCTCAGTTTTTTCCTTAAAAAAATGATAATATATCTTCTAAAGATATTTACGATTAAAGTAATTTACACCATGAGTTATCTATTACTATTTTATCAAATTAAATATAGTTGAATATTATATGGGTGAGGTTAGTTATACTTTTTATAATGTTTTAGGCTTTAAATAAAATATCCTAAATAATTTTTTCTTATTATTTCGTCATTGTTAATTGGAAAGTATGTATGCTTATTGTCCAAATATCAATATTGTTGTTAAATTATTGTTACTTTGAAAATGGGAGCTTTTTCCATAAATCCATCTTTAATTACTTATGTTCCATCCAATCCATATTCTTTTTTACTATTCCATTGGGTCCTATTTGAGATAAGAAGACCAAAATACCCTTTTCATCTACTTATGTTCTATTTAGTACATATTATTTTCTTATGTTTCAATAAGTCCTATGGGTGACATAATTACCAAAATACCCCTAATGTGAATGTTCACACCGTCAATGTGAATGTTCATATCGTCAATGTGTAGGGGCCCGACCCATGTCGATCCTCGTTGGTGCTCGGAAAAATTTGAGTCGGGCCGGGGCGAGCCCGGTCTGTTGACAATGTGAATATTCACATTGACATGTTAACATTCACATTAATAGGAGTGTAAAATTGGCCCGCATCCCGTGGCGGGGCGAAACCCGCCTGTGGCCCATAGGCGGCCCAGGGCTGGCCCAGTTCGGCCCGTTGACAATGTGAATATTTACATTGACATGTTAACATTCACATTTACATTGATAGGAGTGTAAAATTGGCCCGCGGCCCGAAGACGACAGCCTTGGGTCAGGCCGCTGGGCCTAGGCCTAGGCTCAAGCTTAGGCCGGGCTGAGGCGGGCCTGGCCATTTTTTTTTAATTCTTTTTAATTTTTTCTACCAAAATTTTATTATTTTTCACAAAAAAAGACATTGTGTCTCAGGCGGGCTGGGCCTCAGACCGAGCCTTGAATGGGCCTTAAGCGGGCCGATGGGCCGGGCCGGGCTTCAAAGTGATGGCCTAGGCCCTAGCCTAGGGTCTCGGACATGCTCGGACCCGAACCCAAACGAGCTTGCCCCCGGCCGTGGGCGGGCTTCGAGCAGCCTACGAGCGGCGGGCCAATTCTACATTCCTATGAATATGCATGTTAACATGTCAATGTGAATATTCATATTGTCAATGGGCCGGGCCGGTCCTACCCTGGGCCGCGGGCGAGCTTCGGACAGCGGACAAATTTTACACTCTTATCAATGTTAATGTTAACATGTCAATGTGAATATTCACATTGTCAACAGGCTGGGCCGGGCCCGCCTCTGGCCGCTCACGGGCCGTGGGCAGGTTTCGGGTAGCCACGGGGCACGAGCTAATTTTACACTCCTATCAATGTGAATGTTAACATGTCAATGTGAATATTCACATTGTCAACGGACCGGGTCTGGGCAGCTACGGGGCGCAGGCCAATTTTATACTCTTATCAATGTGAATATTAACATGTCAATGTGAATATTCACATTGTCAACGGGCCGGGCCGGACTCGCCCCGGGCCGCGGGCGGTCTTTTGGCCACCCACGGGACGTTGGCCAATTTTATACTCTTATCAATGTGAATGTTAACATGTCAATGTGAATATTCACGTTGCCAACGGGCCGGGCCAGGTCCGCCCCGTGCCGCGGGAGGGCTTTTGGCCGCCCATGGGCCGCGGACTAATTTTATACTCTTATCAATGTGAATGTTAACATGTCAACGTGAATATTCACATTGTCAACGGCCCGGACCGGGCCCGCCCCGGGCCGCCCATGAGCCGCAGGCGGGTTTCGCGCCGCCACGGGACACAGGACACGGGCCAATTTTACACTAATGTTACTGTGAATGTTAACATGTCAATGTGAATATTCACATTGTCAACGGGCCGGGCCCGCCCCAACTCGCAGACGAGTTTCGGGCCGCTCACGGGCCAATTTTATATTCTTACCAATGTGAATTTTAAAATATGAATGTTCACATCATAAAATTGCTAACCGTTCAAAAAATATTTATAAGGGTATCAAAATTAAATATAAGGGCATAAGTGTCCAAGAAAATAGTGTAAATCAAGAAAAATGACTTTATGGAATAAAACTATACATACATGGGACTAAATGGGTTAAAAAATTCCTTCATTGACTTCTTGGGTTAAAACACTTCTACATGGGATTTATCAATAATTTTCCCTTTGGAGGGAAATTGATGGTTTATCTTTATTTACTGTCTTTATTAAGAATGGTTGGTTGATAAGAAATATCTAAAGAAGGAAAGGTAAGATGGTGATCATAGGAATCTTTATTAACTTCTTACCTATTAAACTATGTGATTATCATTCAAAACAACATTTTCGTTGATTTAAGTCTAAATATTTCATATTCATAAAATATATTTAACATCAAAGTGTGTAGTTATATTTTCTAAGTAATTTAGAAAAAGTAACTGAATCTTTACTATTCACGATTCGATTCGATTCGCGATTCGGTACGAGGCCATTTTGATTCACAATTCGAATCCTAATTTGAAAACTATGATCCAAAGCGATAGTGAGAATAATTTTGAGAATGAGCAAAAATAACAAAGGGAAATTGAAGTTGATATTTTGATAGCACCCATATACATACGGTGAAAGCAGACGTAAGTGGAAGCAATGAAACTGATCCATAGAAGTATTTCTTGTGAATAGCGTTTCCCCTGGTCATAGATGCAACACTTGCATTAATATATCATCCATTTCTTGAAACCATAAGAACCATGAGGAGGAGGTATACTAAGCATATGCAGATCAAATGACAACAAAAACACATTCAAAGCTCTGATGCAAGTGCATGGTGCATTCGTGGTTATAAGTAGATGAAAGTGCAGGTTGATGTGCTAAAAAGAGTAGAATAGGTCAAAAAGTCTTACCCATGCCACTAGCAGTCGATTACGTAATCCCATTCCATTGATCTCTCAAGTTAGGCTATGTCTCTCAAAAGATGAGCCAACCAATAATGGAAAAACTTAAAATCCATCAAACAGTCATTTCAGTTATTTGTCATGATGAATGACGAGAGAGGAAAGGAGATGCCAGTTTATAGCTGTAATTAGCCATGGAACATCTTCTCTCACCATTGAGCATCTTATACAGAAACAGTTATTTTTTAATTTGATTCCCTTTACTGTAACTTTTACAGCAACAAGTTTCATCCTAACTTCAGCCATTCTAAATGTTATCTACACTGTTCTTCTTCCATCTGTGGTTCAAAAGAGTGAAATAATACTTTTGTTCTTTGTTAACTTCTAAGTTCATGTCATGTTCAGTGGTTTGGTCTCAATATTTCCAGATGTGAGTTTGAACACATCCAGAGTTGTCCTCGGAATATTATAGTTTAAAGGATACAAGGAGTTATAGTAATGTGAAAAGTAATTTTTTTGGGTGAACCAAATATATTGGGTGACCCAAACTCTATTTCCAAATGAAAAGCCACTACAGCATGACTAAGTGATGCAGCACAATTCTTGCTAAAGAATAATGATCAACTCCAAACCTTCAGGTTTTTAATTCATGAAAAGGGTAAATAGTTACCTTATGGCGATATGCCTTAACCTTCGGCGCACAAATCGTGCATTTAAACTGCAACATGACAAAACATTATTAAAATAGTAAACCATAAGTCACCAAACCAAGATAGCTACGCAAATATAGAAATATACACATCTATTATAAAGATAATATTTTTATTGATCCTGCATTCTCTCTTTACATGCATGCCTCGCCATAAAGTGAACATAGTGTCAGGATCACATATAGATCACACCATTATCATGCAATTACAAGAATAGATGATTCTACTTCAACATAATAAAAGGACATGCTAGCAAATCAATAACAATTTGAACAAACTTAGACAATAAAACAATTGAGGATATAAAAAAGATTCAGGGTGCTAAACAATATTCGAGCATTTAAAACTTCAGCAATTAAAAACAACAATGGCCCTGTTTGGTGCAGCTTAAAAGCTGCTTATTTAAGTTTTCAGCTTAATTTAAGCTATTTTGATGTGTTTGGTTTAACTTATAGCTTATAGCTTATAGCTTTTTGGAAGTCAGAAATCAGCTTATTCTTTGAGTGGGGCAGGAGATGCTTAATTTATAAGTCAGAAATCAGCTTATGTTCATAGTTATAAGGTATAAACTGTTTAAGCATAAGCTATAAGTACTTTCCCACAGCTCTACCAAACAGGGCTAATAATTCCAAATGTTTAAGTGGGAGAACCACACAGAGTAATGAATGTGCCATACAGGCACAAGAAATGCATTATGGAAAATTTCTAAACTTCAGCATGACAATACTGAACTCCATAAATGCAACATCCTAATTACTTGTCATCGTTTGCATGAATCCATTTCACCATTCTACTCTATTTACAGCCATATCTGATTTTAAATCAAAGGCTATCATGATTTCTCCCAACACATCAAATCAAATCCTTTCTGACTGCCCTTTGCCATGCATTACTCCTCAGTTCTGAAGTTTTTGGTAAGCAATGGATGCGACAAGTCTGAACCATGATCCTTTTATCTTATCCCTGTTGATACCAATTCTAGCTTCTCTATGACTTGAGTCAATTCTGACTCTGTACCATCTTTTTTCAATTATTATTTCCTTTTTTTTTATTTAAGTCAACATATTCATTATCTTTGTTTTATACGCTCAACAACCATCTCAACATCTCTTCTTTCATGTCTCTAAAATTTAGCATAACTAGTCTTCATTACTTTTAAACCTAATTAAAAAAATAGGAACCTACCCCCAAAAAAGAATCCCAACATCTTCTAGTATCACACCATCACAGGCATCCTACGGTGACATAGTTTGCTTTCCCAACATGCCTTCATATCTCTAGCTTTTTGTATAACTACTCTTTTATTACTTAATTAAATACATAAATAAATAGAATCCCAACATCCTCTAGTATCACAGGCATCTGACAAAGATGTAGTTTGCTAACCCAACATTCTATACCATAGAATATAGATATTATGGAATTATTTTAAACTTTCCTTCAATTTGATTGTTATGTTTTTATCACAGAACACTCTAGGAGTGCTCTTGCACTCCATCCATGTTCTTTAGTTCTATATGGACAAACACCCTAACAATGGACTAAAAAATTCTTAGGATTCATGTTCAATATGAGTGGCTGTAAGTTTTATGTACACCATCTACCTACTATAACTCTCCTTTCTACAAGTTTGGGACCAGTTGTGTCAAATATAAGGCATTAATGATGAACACCAAACTTGAAATCTCTCCACTCTAAGTCATCAAACATAAAATTTCTAAATTTCCACTCTGAAAATGCATGTCAATATCAGCAATATGCATACTCAAAATAAAATCTACTGACCATACAGCATATCTATCTCCTCCACCAATTTCATGGTTTTTGTTTCTCAACCTCAAGGTATGGAGTTGGATCAATCTTCAAATGCTTTTGTTTAATGTTACAGACTTTTCAAACCATTCTCCAAAGTTCTATAGTGTTATATCAACACCATTTTTATTGTTGATTTTTAATTGTCTCGTGTCGTCTGTTCTATCATGTATGTAGGCAATAAGATACTTCTTCACTATTAATTTAGAAACTTCATATTCTCCCCCACCCCCCAAATAGACAAAAAAGAGTGTCTACAACACAAGCACTCTAGCTTCATAAAGCTTTGGAACCCTTATCTAAAGTAGAATACCTAAATCCATATCTAGAAAACCTAATCTACTTCTCAAAACAGCATTTCAACCACTGTTTATGCATCTTGAACCAGTTGGTTTCTTTAATATGATCAATAACATCAAAGCTTTTAACTTTAACAAGTTGGCAAACATAAAGCAGGTCTTTTATTTTTAAATTTTCCTCATTCCTAGTGTTTGCTAAACTTTTTCACAATGTTCCATTTACCGTCAAAGTATGGTCACCAAAAATTGATAGAAACCAATCCTTGCATGCCCACTTAGTCAGAAAAGTAACAATTGAGACGGAAAAAGGGCATGAAACGTTTTGACAAGTTTTGCTATACATTGTCTAATAAAACAGGAGAAAGTGCAAAATATGTAAAGGTGATAAAAGGGTACCAATCCTTGCACATAAAATTTTAGTAACTAATTAATTGCAAAACGATTGCTTTATCAAATAACTAAATTGAGGAAAGGCGTGGCAGCATTTAAAAATGAGAATGTATTAAGCATCAAAAAGGTTGAGGAAACTTAAGTGCAAGAAAACAAACCTCGAGGGGAATGTAACTTCAACTTTTGTAACCTCCTTAGAGATAGATTTCAATAAAATCTCAGAAGGATTAACACGAGCCAAAAGGCGCAATCCCAAACTGAAATTAGTATCAAATTCATTAGAATTATACCCAACAAGCAAAAAATGAAAAACCCATTTCTGACTTGGACATTTTCACAAACAATTGGTACCCATAAAGCTTGTTTTTGAAACTACCCGGAGGCGCCTTTTCAAGACCCGTCCAAGCTTTATTCATCTACAAATATCGAAATAAATGTCAGTTATCACCATTTTCAAAACCAAGAACCCACGAAAGAAAAAAAGAGCAGATTTTCAAATATGAACCTTGTCAGAAGCGAAATCAATAAGAAGCTCGGCATTGGAGCCAGAGGACTTGACATTGGAAGATGAGATCTTCTTCCAGAGTTCTTTGAACGTAGAAGGAATATGAGAAGACTGTGATTCAATCGTCGAGTGATCAATCGATCTGCTAAAACACCAGTTCCTTCCTTTGATCGGAAACACAACCAATCTAGCTTTCATGATTCGTTTAAAAAAAATAAAATAAAACTACGATTATTTTATAAATATATGTTTATTGAATGAGATTGAAAAAATTGTATAGCGGTGTCGAAATCCGATAAAAGTTGGGTTTTTTTCATTCGAAGCCATCAACAGCTTTGTGGGTGTGATGTGAAGACGAAGTCAATGAAATGAAATTTGAATTGAGGAAGAGAGCAGAGACAGTTTTGTGTCTCCATAGCTGAAACTGGTGTGGATTTGAATGAATCTCACGCTGCTTCAATATGAGAAAATAAAAAACAAAAACAGAATATCGGGGCTAAGCGGCGGGCTTGTAGAGAGAGAGAGGAGAGAGAGAGAGAGAGTCAGAGGTGGATATCCAGTGTAGTGCATGTTCGCGAGGCGAGGTGGGATTATGTGTAATTCTTTTACACGTGTCATTTTTTCTATAGTCAATTTTTTGCTTAGTGGACAGTTAGAACAGGCCACCTCAGCCCTAATATGGATAACGTTTTATTGAATAATTTTGAATTACCATATATCTTAGTAAAAGTTAGATTACAATATTATCTTACGAGGTTGTTTGGTACGTACTAAATTAATACTCTCTGTCTCAAGATATTAATTTTTTATTTTATTTTTTTATTATCTCAAAATATTAGTTTATTTTTAAAAATTAAGTACAAAAATAATATAAATTTATTATTTTGCCCTTCTTTTAAATTCATTAACAATATAAAAAGTACAATTATAATATTGATATTTTCAAAAAAATGTATTATCAAAGGATAATTTTAGAATTTTTTTTAAAGTATAATAATTGTACTACAAAAAAAAATTAAATTTTTCAAAAGGGACCATTACTTTAAGAAAGAGGGAGTATATTTTTTAACTTTTTATGAAAAATTCGTGAAATATAAGTTAAATTTAAAGTGATTCGATAAAAAGGTTATGTAATCCAAATAAAATAATGTTAGCACATACCAAACAATAACTAAATCTTATTCTTCTGACTTATTTTATTATCGGAAAGATAATTTTATAGTTCACTAAACTAACTATTGATCTCTCTAACTCATTATTTTAATATATTTATAATTTTTAAATTATATACAAATGATTAAATGGCAAACTAAAATTGAAGAGGGTAGAAATTTAGAAAAGAATAGTAACTAATACAAGGGAACACAAAATGATGTATGAAATTATGGAATAATTAAGGAGAGGAAGAGTGAATGAAAAACAGTGATTAAAGGTACCTAGTACAAGACTTAAACCTAAACTAACCAAATTAAGTAAAAGGAAGTAGTTATTGTAATTGACTTTTTAATTTTTTATTTTCATGAAAAGATATGAAAAAAATAGAGGGAAATTTTTAATTATTTTAAGTAATTCTCAAATTTATCCTAACCTTTAAAACTAGCATAAGTATAATTTGTAATAAAAAAGAATAGTGAATGAAAAAAACAGCCAAATCATGGATGTGATTCATCAATCCATCCACATGCGACCCCGAGAAAAGCGCTTTGCATTATGTCCACCATCATTCCCACTAACTAATATGGCATTATGCACTTTAACAAAAAATTAAGCACATTCAATTCAATCATTTTTATTTCGGATATATAACAAATGAAAAGTGGTCAATCCAATCAAAGCTTGCACTAGTGTCACAATTGTTTGGTTAAGCATTTCTTCAACAGCCTGTTTGGATTGAGCGATTTAAAAAGAAAAAATAAAAGTTTCTCAACCAAATTTGATTCATTCGTCGATGAATCAAATCCAATACCAATACCGCCCCACCCGTTGTTATCTTCCCACTTGACATATGTTCTAAATGCAATTTGTAGATTCCTCCAAGGTTCGATGGCATAGTAAGCTGACAATATACACCGGGACACCCTTTTCTGGCCATGTCAGCTGCCAATTTGTCATCTCAATCATAAAAATCCATATATAAACGACAGTCCATTGCATGAAACTCCTGATATTGCAACGTCTGTAGCAGGTTATAGAAAGAATCTATATATCATTGATTTATTCTCTCTAGCAGAATAAAAAAACGTAGCCATCACTAATCTTACACCTGGTGAATCAAACAAATAACACTCGACCACGGCTTTAAAAAAATGATTAAAAACAAAAGGAACTGTAAATCAGAAATATAAATTGCTACTATCATACACTAGAATACACATCGATGTAAATCAGGCTGAGCAAACCATCGGCGGAGCATCCGTGGGTTAAAGGTGAACAGAGATAAGGGGCTTCGCATCTCTTCTTCATTCATTGTCGGCAATAAAATTTGGCAGTTCACCTTGGCAGAGGTATTCATCGCAAAGTGAGACCGATCCCCAGTCCTTTCGGATCCGACGAATGTCCTCTGTGAAAGTGGATCCAGAAGCTCCAATAAACACAGTGGACATTGCACAAATTGTTTTATCCAGCATGGCTTCCACCTTCAAAATGAAAATTTTAAATTTAAATAAGAAAATGTTAAAGCTAAATATACTATTTCAAAATAAATGTCAGCAAAGCTCCAGCGTCTTTTTCCAAAAAGAGGTTCTAACTTCTAAGTAACCATAATTTAATCCAGGGTTAGGTCCAGATGTGTGGCCTCTACCCACTTTTGAACAATAACATAATATTTTCCTAAGGTGTGGGCAGGAAGCAGCACACCTTGAGAGCTAATGAGTTTTCAAGACATCATTCGACATCAGGTCTATATCGATATCTCAAAATATTTCACGACTTCTAAGTTAAGGTATCATACCAGAAATTCTAGTTATGTCACCTCATAGCAATAGTACGGTTCTATCATTCAGAAGTTCACATTTTCTACAACAATTGGACCACGGGAAGCCCTAGTAACCCACAAATCAAAGAGACAAGGACCTATGTTACATGGACTCGAGTACGGGTGTCGGGTGTAGGGGATGTATCTAAAGGTCAGATTCATCAAACCATAAATTTAAAATTTAAGGATATATGGACTTGCCAAAAAATTGTTATATTTTTATATTTTTAATTAATAATCATGTATGTGAGATAAAATAGTACTATATGTAGCTTACAGTGTCAAAAAGACATTTATAGTAATTATACAATAATATGTACATATAATAATTGTATTATATACAATTATATAAGAAGTGTCCGTTGAAAAGCATCCGACACATATCCCGTACCCTTGTCCGAGCATTGAGTATCTGACACGGGTATTTGATTTATTTTGAAGAGTCCGTGTAACATAGACAACGACAAATGATCATTAAATCTGCATAAGCATCGGGTCATTGTATAAATCGCCATTATGCAGAAGTTAAAATTTTACGACCAATGTTTTACACAAAATTCCCCACAGCTAAACACACCCACAACCAATGTTTTACATGACCTTTCTCCACAATTATGTTTTGCTGCATTGTACAGTGGCCATGGGGATTTGAAATTTGCTCTAGCTTGGGTCAGTGAAGGACCTTTTTACTTTTTGGCATAGAGGATTGATTGAGGCCGAATTATATATCATTGAGGCCGATAATTGAGATTTAGCTGAAAAAGTTATTTCTGCACATGTGGAGTGTCATTCCTGCACATGTGGCTTCCCGTCCAGAAGTCAAGCATACTAAAAAAATTGCACGTGCAGAGTGTTGTTTTCCTGCACGTGCGGCCGACTTGGTTTTGCGTGCGCAACATTTTAAACTTGTTTTGAAGCCTAGTAGGTATAAAAGGAAGAAAGAAAAGCTGGAAAAGGGTTTTGATATTTTTTTTCAAAAGAAAAAGGAGGCTAGGGTTTGGAGAAAAAGATCTTGGAACTTCAAGGATGTCTTCCATGGTAGTTTACTAGTTTCTGCTTCTACCTCTTCCTACTCCTCCATGAGTGAATAGTCTCCCTCTTTCTAGGGTTTTAATGATACCCTAGCCAAGTAAATGGAGTTTTTCTTAGGTTTTCGGTTGTTGTAATGGTTTGAACAAGTTGTATGGTATTTAAGAACCTTTTCAATATATTTTTCTTTCATTCGCCTTAATTGTTCTTCTTTCTGTGATTGTTGAATGTTTTTCATACAATTGTTATTTTTTCTTTCATATTCAAAGTATGAGATGAGTCATGCCACAAGAGACGAGCCGTGTTGCTACCCTAATTCAGAGCGAACAACTCATACTACTTGAGATGATTCGTGCATATACATTGAGCGCGATAATCTTCTTGATCAATACTTCAATATTGTAGTTGTGAAGTACCAGATGGTTCGAACCATCGCACAATCGATTTCTAATTTTAAACCTTATTTATGTAACTAGTAGTGAATTCATTACCCTAGAATTTTCTCCCAATTAATATCTCAAACCCTAGTTTTCATTGTTGATTTAGTTTCTCTTTTTCATTTAAATTATCATTTCAATATAAGTCTCATCAAGCTTTTCATCAAAATTAATCTAGGAACCTAGCAATTAAATTAATTTAATTTCTCTTTTTCATTTAAATTATCATTTCAATATAAGTCTCATCAAGCTTTTCATCAAAATTAATCTAGGAACCTAGCAATTAAATTAATTTAATTTCACAATTGTCCATGTAGATCGATATCTAAACTTACCTCTATTCTATAGAATTAGAATTCAGTTTAGTGTTTATTTTTGGTGTGCAAAACGACCCATCAAGAATGCTTAAGGAGGGGTAATAGGAAGGCTTGGAATGTGGCCCTTTATGCTTCATGTGGTGCAAATAGAGAGAGAAAAATTATAGATCCTATGAGAAGAAAGAAAGCTCAACAAGTGCCTTGAAAGGAACTGGACTGGCATCCCTTTTTTTTGGCTTACAGTGATTTTCATTTTTTGTACTCTTTTGTATATTTTTGGAGGCTTTTGTACATTCCTGTAGATACATAGGTGGTTTTGGTTTCTATTTTGTTTTGGCTTTTATATATGCTGTGCATAAATGGTTATGGGTGCTCTTCTACAATACATATTTACTTATCAAAATAAAAATGCATGTCCAACATGTAACACTTACATAAAATATGTAAATTAAAAATGCAAACAGACCTCTATCCATATGTGCATTGCTGAATGTGAAAAATATAAAGGCTTCTTTTAGTAAATATTCAGAACAACAAACCTGAATGTATGTATTTGCAAAAATATAACCAGCTATTATAGGTCTTCTAGTAACCGATGTCTATCATGTTTTAAGTAATTTACCCATGTTAGTGTAGTGGTAACCACTGCCCTATTATAATAAATATGTTATGTCCATACTATATTATTATTGTTGTTCGGGATAAACCGTTCGATTTTTAATCTCATTATTAGTTGGATTATGTTACCTCATTGCCATGGCTAAACCAATCATTATCAATAGCTAAAAAAACGTACACACAATTTAGTCCTTATTGGATGGGGTTTGAGAGGGGTAGATTGGGTACAAATCTAATCTTTGGCATTATTTACACAGAACAGGTTCCCTCAGGTTCAAAGCCACAACCACAAGGTTAATATCCCAAGTTTTAACCACTAGACTAATGGCCCTGTGTTAACTATCACCAATAGCTAAACCACATTAAAACCACCTCGCTTCTTTCGCCTTACACCCAAACCCAATCAATAGTAAATGCAAGTGTAAACACCAGCATAACTAACAGTCAAACACCATTGACTTGACTCCTTGGTAGCCTCACATCAGTCCCCATAAAAAGGGGTGCACTATTTCATTGACAACCTGCCACAATGCATAGACCGCCATACATCTGAATACCAACAGACTGCTTTTCTCAATCCTTTCTCCAGGATTTTCTCTACTGCTATGACCTCACAAAACCTTTTATTTTCTCACAATTTTCAGCTTTTGCAACCTCTTCTTGAAGAAGACAAAAACTTGACTATGCTGTTCACTATTTAGAAAATGGCAAGTCTTACACTTAAAATGAGATGGAAAAACAAACCAACACCAACTGATAAGCTAAAGTTCCTGGAGACACCAGTAATAATTGCTCTCACTGAGTCACTGGACTCTTACATTCTAAAGATTAAAAGCGGGGAAAAAATCAAAGCCCTTTTCTTAATTAAAAAAAGAGAGTGCAAAAAAATGTAAAAAAAGTTTAAGAAGCTTTTCATTTCTAAAAAGTCTCTTTGTGTGCAATCTGCACACATCAAATAAAAAAAAAAAATACTATTACATAGAATCTCAATGCATACGAACAAACAAATTCTTATTTACTCTTCACCCAGGCAAATTCAATCACAGAAGCATTTCTCTGCCTTTGAATAACTTACTGAGCAATAGTTCCATTACGTGGAGATCAAGATGCTTTGATTAACGACTTACACTACCTAGTATAAATACATAAACCATGTCCATCACAAATAGATCTAAAATATCTAGGATGAACCAAACCCAAATTCAAGAACAATCAGCGATCACGATGTTAGAGAAGTTATAAACTGACCTGTGGATCTCCCTCGAGGCCATGTCTGTATAGCAAAGCATCCCATTTTTCATCTTTATTACGAGCTGGACGCTGAACAAGTGGTACAGATTTCCCATTCAGTACAACCAGTGACTGCAATAAACTGGTTTCACTTTCAGCAGCATCTGTGGAGAGATATACAACAGGTGCATTGGCCCTTTCAACCACCTGACTGATGCATTCCGCAGCTTGAGGAACGGGATAAAAACAACTTGGTTTTTTAGCATTGCTGACAAAATAAGAAAGGATTGTTAGAGGTGTATTTTGAAGGCAAAGTTCTAACTGTGAGGACAAACACGCAGGCACAAACACACACTATGCATTATAATTTATAAATGATGTACAAGCTCAGAAGCTGGCAACCAATAGATTAAACATGCCCCAGGATGACCAAAGATTTTTATTCATTTATTTATTTTTAAAGTGGGAAGATCTGAATTATACAGTCCATGAAGAAGTAATGGTAATGTGTTATAAAGAAAGTTAATCACGATTCTTCAAGTGTGCAGTTAGTTATGTCCAGTGAAGCATTTTCAAACATAATTCTAGCAATAGATGTGCCTTGCATAAAGGCACCATCTGCAATCGGAAAGAGGGGAAAGATGCACAACAGAATGCAAATTCCCCATGTTAATGATTTCACAATGTCCAAGGGTTTGGTAACCGTAACACAAACCCTGATAATTGGGAATTTTGCATACAATCAACTCAAATTAATATAACTTTCGATCTACTGTGACTAGTCATGATGCATAGCTATAGCTTTCTATGCTTCTACACAATAAAGCCTGATATACTGTACTTTAAAATATCAAGGTTGAAAATGAAGGAAAATTATACCAAAACACCAAGAAGCCGTGACGCCGGAAATGAAGAGCAATAAATCTTTTCCCCAAGAATGTTTGAATAAAACGTTGTGCAGTGAGCATGATAAGGCGACTCGGCTCAATCAGAGTCTTGCATTTGTGAGCAAGAGGACCACCGGGTTGCATCACCAAATCTTGCTCCAAATCAGCAAAGAAGACATCTCCGACAGCAATAACATTGTCATTGGAAGAAAACTTATCCATGACATCTTGCATTGTCCTTTTCGTTGGCTTCTTAACATCCTCAACCCAAGCAGGCTCAAGCTTATTCATCGAAATGCCCAAGGACTTCAACTTCTTAACACGTTCAGCATCCATAAAACACGGCTCAGGCGATGAGAAATAACACATGAACTTGTCTATGTGCAAGTGGTTCTTTTTAGCTTCTGCAAACTCTTCAAACGTGACAACAACTTTCTTCCCCAAGCATTTATTTATGTGATCGATATCCAGCACGCGACTGAATTCATAATCGACTTTCGGGCTTGGAATAACCAAAACCCGGTTGAGTAAAGCAGCAAAGAACATGTGCTTCTCTAAGCAAATCAAATGGTTAGACATTTGCCCAGATACACAAATTGCAAACAAGTACTTATTCGATTTCGGGTTCCACTCAATTGTTTTCCTCCCAGACAAATTCTGATCAATATTCCTGCACCTATCAACACCACCATACCCACCAACAGTAGGATCAGTAACATTATCCTCAGAATCCAAAGAATTCCCGGATCGATGAGTGGATAAAAGAACTTTCTGGATTTGTTTGTTTATCGAAATCTGACTAAGAACCCCCGATTTCAAATCTTCAAACAATGCTGTGGAATTGGGATTGGGATTCGAATCAGTTGCAAATGTGTCTTTCCATAGCTTGAAAAGCCCTAATTGTTGTTGTCTAAGCAAGTACAAAGCTTGCAATTCGGAATCGCGCATGAGATTTTGAGAAGAATCGAAATTGGTGTTTAAAACCCCAGTTTGGAATAGGTTTTTAATGTCGGTAGTGAAATAAACGATGATGATGAAGAGAGGGAGGAAAATGGCGAAGAGGAACCTCTTGTTGAAGGTGAATCTATGGAGGTTGAGATTGCGAGAGTGATTGTTACCACCATTTCTGAGCTTGAACTCATCTTCATTGTCGTCGTCAATGTGGAAAGTGGAGCGTTTTGGGGGAGATCTAGCGGGAAGTCTTTCGTTCTGATCGATTAGGGTTTGTCGATCTTCTTCTTCGTCTGAAGATGATTCTCCTCTGTCCATTGATACAGATGAGAGCGATAGTGAATGCAGTGTTGATTTTCTCTCTCTGTCTCTCTCTCTTCAGTTGAGTGTGAGGTGGAAGAGAGATCTGGAAGAGAGCTGGTAAAGGTGTGTTTGGTTGTGTGAGAAAGAAGGGATTATTTGAGAAGGACTTCTTGGTGGAAGAAAACGACCCTCCACTGGCTTAACAACTTATAAATATATAAACTACCAAATAAAAGAAAAATTAATGTGAAGCTTGATGACGCCCATTGTGTTGTACATATGAATGGTGACAAAAATAAGTACATTTTAAAAAAAAAAAAATGTTATACGCCTTAAACCATGATTATTAAATTTATACTCATATAGGGGCAGGAATTGAGTCTTATGTATTAATTTTTATGAGAAAATTACATATATATTTTTTGAAATTTGTTTAAAATACGAATTGTACTTTGAAAAATCACAAATAAGGCAAATTACAAACACCCCCCTCAAGATTTGCAGGGTTCAGATGATGAAAATGAAGAAAACGAGCCAACTGTTACTCCAGTAGTCAACGAGCAAGGGCAACGATCAACCAGCTCGGTTGGAGCCAACGTTTGAAGACCTAACTGTTGACTCGCCGACTGACACCGTGCTACCAGTTGCTACTGAGACTGATCTTCCATCTGCAATCGGTGTTCAGGTTGATATTGAAGCCGATCTTGAAGACCTTTTTAATTAATTTGTATTTTTTCTTTTTCTTCTTTTTGCTTCGACTTGTAACCGGGCTAGGAGCCCTTCCCTTGTAATTGCTCTGAACTTTGATCAATGAAAATCATCATCCTTTGTGCTAACTGTTATTCCGGTTTGATCTGTATGCTTGTGCCTGTAATGACTTTTATTGCTCCAACTGTAATCTTGGTTTACTTTCCTGTTTGAGCGTGCTTTCCAACTGTAACTTGAAACATACTATTTTTCGGCTGAGATACTTTATTTCGGTCTTACATGTGCCAACTGACTGACCTTACTAGCCAACCACTCTTTAGCTGATATGCGTACTTCGGCTGAAGAGTACCAAGAGTGGTTTAATTCAGTCAACCATTCTTCAGCCTATACCATTATTTCGGCTGAAGAGTAATAAGAGTTGGTTTAATCCCACCAACCACTTCTTCAGCCCAAACCCTTACTTCGGCTGAAGAGTACAAAGAGTTGGTTTAATCCAGCCAACCACTCTTTAGCCGATGCCCTTACTTCGGCTAAAGAGTATCAAGAGTTGGTTTAATCCAGCCAACCACTCTTTAGCCGATGCCCTTACTTCGGCTAAAGAGTATCAAGAGTTGGTTTAATCCAGCCAACCACTCTTTAGCCGATGCCCTTACTTCGGCTAAAGAGTATCAAGAGTTGGTTTAATCCAGCCAACCACTCTTTAGCCGATGCCCTTACTTCGGCTAAAGAGTATCAAGAGTTGGTTTAATCCAGCCAACCACTCTTTAGCCGATGCCCTTACTTCGGCTAAAGAGTATCAAGAGTTGGTTTAATCCAGCCAACCACTCTTTAGCCGATGCCCTTACTTCGGCTAAAGAGTATCAAGAGTTGGTTTAATCCAGCCAACCACTCTTTAGCCGATGCCCTTACTTCGGCTAAAGAGTATCAAGAGTTGGTTTAATCCAGCCAACCACTCTTTAGCCGATGCCCTTACTTCGGCTAAAGAGTATCAAGAGTTGGTTTAATCCAGCCAACCACTCTTTAGCCGATGCCCTTACTTCGGCTAAAGAGTATCAAGAGTTGGTTTAATCCAGCCAACCACTCTTTAGCCGATGCCCTTACTTCGGCTAAAGAGTATCAAGAGTTGGTTTAATCCAGCCAACCACTCTTTAGCCGATGCCCTTACTTCGGCTAAAGAGTATCAAGAGTTGGTTTAATCCAGCCAACCACTCTTTAGCCGATGCCCTTACTTCGGCTAAAGAGTATCAAGAGTTGGTTTAATCCAGCCAACCACTCTTTAGCCGATGCCCTTACTTCGGCTAAAGAGTATCAAGAGTTGGTTTAATCCAGCCAACCACTCTTCAGACATACCCTTACTTCGGCTTAAGAGTAATAAGAGTTGGTTTAATCCAGCCAACCACTCTTCAGACATACCCTTACTTCGGCTTAAGAGTAATAAGAGTTGGTTTAATCCAGCCAACCACTCTTCAGACATACCCTTACTTCGGCTTAAGAGTAATAAGAGTTGGTTTAATCCAGCCAACCACTCTTCAGACATACCCTTACTTCGGCTTAAGAGTAATAAGAGTTGGTTTAATCCAGCCAACCACTCTTCAGACATACCCTTACTTCGGCTTAAGAGTAATAAGAGTTGGTTTAATCCAGCCAACCACTCTTCAGACATACCCTTACTTCGGCTTAAGAGTAATAAGAGTTGGTTTAATCCAGCCAACCACTCTTCAGACATACCCTTACTTCGGCTTAAGAGTAATAAGAGTTGGTTTAATCCAGCCAACCACTCTTCAGACATACCCTTACTTCGGCTTAAGAGTAATAAGAGTTGGTTTAATCCAGCCAACCACTCTTCAGACATACCCTTACTTCGGCTTAAGAGTAATAAGAGTTGGTTTAATCCAGCCAACCACTCTTCAGACATACCCTTACTTCGGCTTAAGAGTAATAAGAGTTGGTTTAATCCAGCCAACCACTCTTCAGACATACCCTTACTTCGGCTTAAGAGTAATAAGAGTTGGTTTAATCCAGCCAACCACTCTTCAGACATACCCTTACTTCGGCTTAAGAGTAATAAGAGTTGGTTTAATCCAGCCAACCACTCTTCAGACATACCCTTACTTCGGCTTAAGAGTAATAAGAGTTGGTTTAATCCAGCCAACCACTCTTCAGACATACCCTTACTTCGGCTTAAGAGTAATAAGAGTTGGTTTAATCCAGCCAACCACTCTTCAGACATACCCTTACTTCGGCTTAAGAGTAATAAGAGTTGGTTTAATCCAGCCAACCACTCTTCAGACATACCCTTACTTCGGCTTAAGAGTAATAAGAGTTGGTTTAATCCAGCCAACCACTCTTCAGACATACCCTTACTTCGGCTTAAGAGTAATAAGAGTTGGTTTAATCCAGCCAACCACTCTTCAGACATACCCTTACTTCGGCTTAAGAGTAATAAGAGTTGGTTTAATCCAGCCAACCACTCTTCAGACATACCCTTACTTCGGCTTAAGAGTAATAAGAGTTGGTTTAATCCAGCCAACCACTCTTCAGACATACCCTTACTTCGGCTTAAGAGTAATAAGAGTTGGTTTAATCCAGCCAACCACTCTTCAGACATACCCTTACTTCGGCTTAAGAGTAATAAGAGTTGGTTTAATCCAGCCAACCACTCTTCAGACATACCCTTACTTCGGCTTAAGAGTAATAAGAGTTGGTTTAATCCAGCCAACCACTCTTCAGACATACCCTTACTTCGGCTTAAGAGTAATAAGAGTTGGTTTAATCCAGCCAACCTCTAAGTTAGTTTTTCCAGCCAACTTAGAATAAAATTTTTGGTTATTCCGACCAAACGTCTTGCA